CCCCTTATCCCTAAACACATATGCATACAGGCTATTGGACATGACAGGATGGCGGAAGGAGAGGGCACAAACCTGGGAGCCAATTGCTTAGAATTCAGAGAGACATTTTTCTGCCATCTTAATTTGCTCATTGGTAAAGTCATCCAGTGGGAAAAATTCTGCACAAAATTGCTACTGTGAAAGCATTAGAATTAGCATAAATTATAGATATGTTGCCTGTCTGAGCTGGAATACAGATATTTAAAGTAGACGCTAGGTTTCAAGGGAGGGGAGACTTTCAGGAGAGCAGTCATGCCAGGTGGTCCACGGCAGAGAAAATTAGGGTATCCAAAAACATTGTACTGGAGAAGGAAAAAAAGTCCCTTCTAGAGTGTTATACAGAAACAGAAGCAGTTATGATTGACATTTACAGAAACAATCAACCTCTTCAGGAATGAACTGCAGCTCCCTTCCCATACATGCTGTAGTTACTTACGTTGCACTAGGTCTAAGAAGCATCTCTCTTAACATGCTGTTAAAATGTTTTTGTTTCCCAAGAATTGCTGCTGCCCTTCCTCAAAAAAAGTCAGCATGCAGGTTTCATGGATAACATCCTTTTACGCACTACTCTGTTTGCTAAAGGTATCTATACACCTCATTCCTGTACACCAGTCGCACCAATATCTAACAGTTTCCCTAATGAGCTATGACTACTATATACAACCTATGACCTAAAAGCCACACCTCACTGTGGAGGCCAACAAAATCACTGTTCAGTGGTTGTCACACTGCTGAAAAGCCAGGAAGAAAATCTTCCAGCACATACATTCATGATCTGGACATTTTATATGCTACCTTATTTGAAGTTACGAACCAGAAACATTTTCTTTGCTCTGAAGTTTGTTAATCTGTGCAGTTATGGAGTAAGATTATATACAATTCTTGTGGAAACAGCACCTGTCAAAAAGTAGTATCAAAGACCCCTGCGAATTATCAGTACTATGGTTTAAACTAAAAGCTGCAGTCATA